ACTCTAAATAATTAATATATAATATATAATTAAAATTAATTGATAATTTTCAATTAATATTTATTAATATAAATAATAATTAGTTTTTATCAATATTTATTAATAATTAATTATAATTAATATTAATGAGAGTTATAATTAAAAAGCGTCACAATAAGCTCCAAAAGCTACTCCAATAAGCTAGTTTATGTTTATTTAAACGTGTACTCAAAAAATAAGTTAGTTTATGTTTATTAAACAATGTCTTTAGCTTTTGGATCTCTATTTTAAATAAATTATAAATAATATGTTGGAGATACTCTTAATGAATTATCAAATTTAAAGTTTTCTCTTGTTTTTTTTTTTTAATTTTAGAGAATAATATAAAAAAAAATTGACACAAAATAATAAATATTTTTTTATTTTTCTATGAAAATCTGTTAGAAATACTCAGAAAGTCTATTCGGTAATAGCTTATTTAACTTATTTGGTAAGCTATATAAAGATGTTCGGTTGTAGCTTATATTAAAAAAAAAAAAAAAAAGTGAGGGCTTATTGGGTCAGGCCATTTACCCCTCTTGTGATTCAGCTATCCAAAAGACAGGCTCTTATCTTGAAAGATGATTCCTCTTAAAATCAATGTTCTTTTATTTCTATCTCCTATTGTTGAAGAGATCAGAATTCTCGAGCAGACTACTTGCTTATCTTCTTCAATCGATGAAGATGAAGATGAGCACCCTACTACCCTTATCGTCCCTAAAATCCACTCTTCCTCCTTTTTGATGATCAATTGCTGCTTTCTGCTACCTTTATCTATTTCATGGTTACAGTGGCGTCTAGGGTTACAGCTTGAACATTTTTTTTTCAAATTGGTGCTACAACGTTTGTCGAGATCTTAGATCTGTTTGTGGCTTTGCCATTGTTGACGATTCAATTCTGCTCATATTTTTCTTGAATGCTAGGTGTTGAAGCAGTGGCTATTGATTCCACTAATTCATGGATGCCTCATCTTCTGCTAGTCTCTTCTTCACCACAGAAACATTACTTGCAACATCTACTTTTGTGTTTCCTTAATTACTCACCAACCATCTGTGGATTCTCAACAAATCTATCACTCAATTATCTCTTTTCTTCTTCTCTTCATTTTTCAAGATCAGAATGTTGTATTTGAAATTTCAATGTCATTCCGATTCAGAGGTAAAATAGTTATTTTTGTTATTCAAACAGCTTATTCAGCACAACAATTGAATAATAACGTATTATAATCCATAAAGACAACTTAATCCATACAAGACTTAGGAGTTGTTTACTTGTGACTTAATGGGCTTAATAGCTTATTGGGCTTATTCGCACCGACACTTTGAGGTGTTTATTTACAGCTTAATGAAAAATAGGCGCTTATTCGCACAGCCTAAATACCTTACTTGTCCAAGTTCATCCCGAAATGTTACCATGCTTGCCCCTGATAAAGAGCGCTCCCCTAATATAACCTATTTGGTCGCCCATCTTCACACACGTTCTCTTCTCGGCGGCTCATCTATTTCCTTCCCCCTTCTCTCGATCATCTCCATTGCCGGCCGCATCCCTTTCCGGCGACCATCTCCATTGTTGGTTGCATCTCCTTTCGGAGACGATCCTATTTTCGACTGCATCTCTTCTCGAGTGTAAGAAAGGGAATGGATTCCAGACAAAAATAAAAACCTATGATTCTTAAGTATCGATTCCAAGCATAGTTCTATATTTGTACAGATTGATTTTGGATGTGTTACTGATTTTGACAATGATGGTGATATCAAAAAGGGATGAAGCAGTGGGTTTTAATTTCATAGATCCACCGTTGCATTTCCTTTTCTATTGGTTTGATTACTCTGGATAGCCTATCCAACCATATTTGGTTTTTACTCGGTTGTAAAGATTTGATTTTATCATAAACTTGCTATTATTTGATATTTTGATTGAATTGTTATTATTTGATATTGATTGAATTAGGTGTAAACAAATATTGTTTCAAACATTCAAAGGCTGAATTGAAATTTGTTTTTTTTTTTTTTTTTTTGATGATGAGAGATGTACGACATTATATTATGCTTTAATTCATGGTAAGGGTAGATCGGTCATTTCTGTCATTCAGATTCTTGATCAAGGAGAAAAAGTAAACATTAACATATTTCTATTCAAACAGATAAATTTATTTATACATGACTTAATAGAAAAATTGGTAAATAACTCGTTTAATAAAAAATAAACACAACAGCTTTGAATTGCCTTGACCAATAAAAGGAAAAAAAAAGACATATTTGTTGGCATACCCAACCGGATGAGTTGAAATAGAATAAGAATTGGCACATGGTTACTCGTATTTGACCGGTCTAACTTCCTCAAAACACACTGGTTTTACATTTAAAATAACGAATCCATTTTCTTTTTAATATCATATTTGCAATTTAACTATCCACGTGACAGAAATATTAAAAAGCCAAAATCCATTAAGATGCAATAAATTTGCTTTAATTTTTATTTAATATACAGATTAATTTTATTCCTCTACTTGTATATATAATTTTTTTTTTCTATTTCACGTTTATTTTATCTGTTAAACGTGTTTTCAATCTATGTGATACTAAATGATTTCTATGTGACTTTTTTACTACAATACCAAAGTAGGAGTTACAGTTTAGAGTTCGAGTAGTCTCAAGTACTCTTTAGAATCGTAATGGATCACACCATGGGTAAACCTATAAAGGTCAGAGCTAGGTCACGTGTTACTGTTCAATCTATATTCCGATAAGTACATTTTTAGGGGTATGAGATGTACACATACCAAATTTTCAAAGGTTAATAATAAAAGATATTTGAAAATATATGTAAAACTCAAAAAAATCAACCAAAAAACTGAACAAATACCTTGAAACGGTAAAATTCAACTAAGCACACATCACGCTTGTACTTAAGGCTTGCGTCTTGCTCAAAGGTCGATCACATTTGAAAATACATAAATCAACGCAATCGACTTATGTTCGGATCAAATCGAGTTCTCAAGATCATACCATGACTTCACGGTCATCTTAAAAGTGTTGTGGGCACCCCGCAGCAAAAATCATAGATTCACTGATATATCACGCTGCATTGTGCGATTACACTTTTAATAACAAACATGCTTATCAAAAGATACAGTTATCAGTGCCAAACATTTACGCAACAATCAAATCATCGATCGATCATAAACTATAAACCTTAAACCCTACAAATATTCAAAGAAAATGCAAAAAAGTGTGAAAGAAAAATGGTCATTAAGAAAAATAAACCCTCTCACTAATCTAGAATTATGTCTATAATTTGTCCTAATAATGATAGTCAAAAGATCATTCATTGATCTAACGGCCCAAACAAAATGGGCACCTGATCAAACCATTCTCATTGCACAACGTACAACTCCTAAAGCCACCTTTCTCCGTGTAGCACTTGTGGCTTCCGCTGCACTCGTCGCAGAGGATAAATCTGAAGTCGCCGCAACCCTCGCATACGCCGGGAGTAACCGCCGGTAAACCTTCAATGAACTTCTTTAGCTCGCCGGTTTCGTGCAGTTGTTTGACCTCTTCGGCTCCTCCGATGTACCTACCGCCGATGAAAACCCTAGGTAGGGTTAGTTTGCTTTTTTCGATCTCATCCTCACCGCCTTCGGCCATGATGTTCTGTAACTCGTCTAGGAATCTGGAATCCATCGATAAATCTCGTTCGTCGATCGAGACACGGAACCCTCGTAAGATCGATTGGACGGTATGGCAAGCCTCGAACGTCGGCCGGACCACGCGTAGGCTCGTCGTGTACACCACAACTCGCTTTTCGGCTCCCGGAATCGAAATCAGGCGGTCAGATTTCCCCAATTTCTCCGCCGCCACGGCATTGTTTGATTCCGGTGGAGGTTTCTTCTCCGGATTAGGGACTTGTCTGGTTGAGAAGGCGCGCGCGAATTGATTAGCGAGGTGAACTCGATGGAAGATCGATAGTCTTCGGACGGTTTTGTTGGAGCACGGTTGATCTAGGGTTTTATTGAAACCGTTAGTACCATTATCATCATCATCATCACCAAAGAGATTCTCGACATCTTTAAAAGATCGATGACAGAAGTTGAGATTTGAGGATGATCTACGGATTGAACCATCAATGCTATCGCTATCACTATCACGTCTAGATCTTCGCGGTGATCTCCACATCTCAGGTAAGATCCCAATTTCAGCAAACAGATAGAGAGATAGAAAGCTTAATTACGCTGCCGATTCGATCCAAATTGAATGTAGAGCTGGTAGAAATTAAAATGGCAGAAGCTGCAACGGTTGTAATGAAGGGTTTTTGGAGATACAAAAATGGCGGATAAGTTGTTGGGGGCGAGGGCGATGGGTTCTCTCCTCAACAGTAATTTATACAAGTGATTGTAGAGAGCAGATTGGAATTCAACTTATAGACTCTTTGCCCTCTCGGGAGAATTCCTCAATTATATATATATATATATATATATATATATATATTATTGTGTGTGTGATAGAATGATGATTTCGTGTATAAAATCACAAAAGATTGTGTAAATTATGATGTAAAAAGTAATTTTTTTAATACATAAATATATTTTTTTAAATCAAATCCGAGTATTTTAAGTATTTTTTATACCTTTTAATATTACTTTTGTAAAGTATGGTCAGATAAAAATGTTAAATATCGTGATAATGGAAGGTTCATATATGAAGTATTGAAAAATCTATGAAACCAGCGCAAGAGCACACGGATTCTATAATGTACCGCACAACACAAGCCAAAGAAGAAACAAAAGGCAAAATGGGTCGGGCTCAAGGGTGCTGGTGCTGATTGTATAAAACGAAGGGCTGTTATACCGTTGAATCCACAAGAAAAGAAAGTTCTTGGCACGAATGGAAGGTCATAAATGTGAGAGGAGCTTAAATTCATAAACGAGATCCAAATGTCTTCAAAATGAAACATCATAATTCAAAATCTTCAACTTTTTATTGTGGAGATTACAATATTATATATATAGTTTAATATATATTATTAAAATATTTCATATATTTAGCAAATTATTATTATTTTTTATAAACATTTAATTTCGTGATCTTTGTTGGAATGAGAGTATAATAAAAAAATATATATATATTTATATTATCATGATAATCATTTTTGGATAGTTTCCAAATTTTAAGAATTTTTATCTCTCACACGTACTTTCTTCATCTAGAGAATTTGTTGGAACAATAATTTTACATAAAAATCCTTAAAATCCCAATTTTCTCTATTTTAAATAATATTGAGGATAAGCACCAAATTTTACTTTAATACCTATTTTTTGTATGAAATCATTTTTTATAAATAAATATTATTTTGCACTATTTTAATATCATAAATAGTAAACACTAATTTAATATAATATTATTCACTAACACTATTTTTTGTCAAGCTTTTGATGATATTTATAATCTGATTTATTCAATTTGAAGATATATATATATATATATTTTTTTTTACATTATTTCAATATCTACTAAAAATTTTAATAAATTAGAAGTATATTAATTTTAAGATCTAAAAAATTATAATGTATTTGATTAATTTAAATATATTAATTTTTAATACTTTACAAAACTATATATATATATATATATATATATTCTGAACAGTAAATGTTTGATTATTGTAACAAAACTAAAAAATTTCAATAAATTTAAAATCGTGTAATTATCATTAACTTTTTTTTATTAACCTGGATATTCAACCCGTTATGCGAGGCGACTAATCTCAGGACGACCACCTACTTTGCAGGTAGCCTGGAGTCAACGCATTTGAACCTCTATGGCCATAAAGGAATTTTTGTTCCTTCTTGGATTTGAACCTGGGAGATCTAGATACTTTTGACCTTTGGGGCCAAACTCAAACCAATCAGGCATCACCCTTGTGGTTAATTATCATTAATTTTAAGCATTATGTTACTGAAAAATGTTTAATTTTATTAAACATTTTGAAAGGCACATCTAAATATTGTCTAAAGTTGTGTTCAGACGCAGTTTAAATTGGTTATTACATATAACACCTTCATTTTCTATAAACATGTCTATCATAAGTTATCTTACAAATCGTGACATCAGTGTAATGAAAGTTGAGGAAGAGAAAGGTGAATAGACAAAATTGCCCTTCGCTAATGGAGACTTAACTTAAGGAGTTAGTAGAATAGACCATATCGGTTATTAAAATGAAACTGTAAGAACATTCTTTGTTAATAATTCTTCTCAGGAACTTTACTTGTTACTTTATATAAACCATAGGGACCAAAGTTGTATTAAAATTTAAAAGAGTTTTATTCAATTTACCTCAACAACCCAAATAAGGCTCACAAAAAAATCTAGTTTATTTTATCTAATCGTGAAATCATTATGTTAGTTGTTTGATGTTTGAATTTCTGTTTACTTTTATATAGTAATATAAGACGTTTGTAATTGATTTGATTATGTTTGAAACATTTAAACTTTTACTTTTAGTTGTGAAAATTAACGTATTGTAATTTTTTTTCAGATCGGTTCAAATTACGGGTTCGGGTTTCGATATAACCAACGGGGGAAAAAGATTTTTTTCTTAATGGGTTCCCCAACGGGAATCGGGGAAACCGCGTGGACCCGACGGGGATCAAGACGGTTACAGGGACGGTCTTCATTACCGATTTCGAGAATGGGGATAACAATACCTGACCCGTTACCATTTCTAATCATATTTTAAAAGTCTTACTTATAAGTACGTAATTTTTATAAAACTTTAGTACCTAATATCGATGTGACTGAGATGAAACTTGATGTACTTATGAATTTACATTCTCTAAAATAAAAAAAATAAAAAAGTTTAAACCAAAAACCCTTAAATAAAAACATTTTAATATACTTTTTAAACTATAAATCATTAAATGTATATATTAAAAAACATGTTTTTTTTAAATTCGAATTGAATAAGATTACATCACTTTTTATACAATTTCCCCCTTAATATGTTAAAGAAATCGTCATTTTGAAAGTACAATTTGTAGTGTTTTCGAGCTAGCTTACGTGCACCAACTAATCTCCCGGACGATCACAAATGACCTGGAGTCATCGCAGGTGAACCTCCATGGCCACAAGGGCTTTGGCAGCACCTGAATTCGAACCAGGAATAAATTGAATTTTCTACTACATCCCCGTAAGACTTAACCAGTACACCATAATCCAGATGATTAAATGAGTCTATATACAGTTCTATTTAATAGTGTGAAAGGTTTTTTACTTATAAGTAATGGACTAATGGTGGTTGGTCGGAGTGTTATTAAGTCACATATAAATAATATAAAATCACACTAGAGCACCTGAAAACAAGTATCGTCAAGTGTTGCACTATTCACCCAAAACTCATGATTACGTATTTGTTGTCTTGCTTGCCGATCCAATCGACTCAAATTATGCATATTGGATTACAACCATGAGTGAAGGGGTTGGTATATTTCATATTTTATACGTCAATCATACCTAAATAAAAGTAGTGTTTTACCAGTTTAAGAAAATATATAATAAAAACTATGAAGATATAAAAAAATATATATGCACACAACACTGGACCTGGGGTTTTTACCCAACAAATACATTTGGATCAAAGCCCCGTAAAGTCGTGGTTTGATCATGTAGAAAAACCAACATGTTTTGATATAAGGAAATTGTGCCGATTTGGATCAAAGCCCTGTAAGCACATTTTTTCTCAAATGGAATTGGCCTTTTGAGCCAAACGCAAGATAACGTTTTAGGCGTAAGTTCGATGTGTTTTCATAGTTTTCAGAGTTTTTTTTTTAAGTTTTTTGATTGATTTTGATGGACTTTTTCGTTTTTTTATTGACATCCCTTGTATTTTTTAATATCCCAAAACACCCTCAAAATTCAGCATGTGCACCTTTTATATACCAAAAAAATCTATGAAAATCGTTAAAGAAGCTTAAGTGACTTAATGGGTCGAAAGAAATAACTATTTTTTCTTGAATTAATACATAAACAGATATGTCATGTAATTTTTAAACCAAGATTATATAAACACACACACACACACACACACACATTATAACTTAATTTAAATTGTTTATTATTATTGATCCATTGAGCAATAATAGAAAACATATGTTTATGTTTATAATATTATATATGATATAAAGTATAGATATTTGTCGTCATAAGTCACGTCTTGAAAAATATCGGTACCTCGCCGTGGCTCCCAAGGCTTGAAGCTTGGCCTTATCGCCACACCGCGCTATTTAAAACCTTGATAAATATATGATTCTATTTTATTTCCTAATATAAACCCACGATTGTAACGACGAACTTATCATCTTTCATGTATATCTCAATCATATTTGAGTGCTAAAATTTAGCAATAGCTTCGGAGAGGGGTTATTTGGTTGATTTTCCATTAAGTAACTGTATGGGTAAAGTTGTCTATGTGGATTAATCTGTCTGTATAAATCATGATAATTTTAAATAAATATTTTGAATGTTTCCTGATATAAGAATTGATTATGGTTTGCAAGAATTATATAATTTATAAAATAAATCGTCTATATGTATAATTATAAATAATAATAATTGAATTTTTATATAAAAAACAATTGTACCACGTAAAAGAATAGATGTGGTAAAACATTGTACGGATACACTTTACCTTTTATCTTTTCATATTCCATTATAGGTACTTATTGGTACCGGTTAATAATTGACACATGTGAAATATATTAAATACGGTGATAGATATAACTGTATATATTGTAATAATCGTGAGAACTTTTATTTTAACGTATTGTTTTATATGAAACTTTAGATTATGAAACAAACACATTATGAAACAAATATATGTTAATCAATATTTTCAAAATCGTAATCTTAAAAAATAAAGTAAAAGATCATATAAAATAGCACATAATACACTAGTGCTCAAGATTATCACATTTTCATGGGTTTTTATTTCTTTCAAAAAAGTCTATATCTATTAGAATATTATATCTTGTTTTGGATTTGTTAATTTAATCTTAGAAGCTCGAAATTGTGGGGAGAAAAAGGAACCTTTCTCTATTATCATACGCAATATCTCAATGGAAAGTCTGAACGTACAGGGAATTGGAGGTAACATTCTACCGATGGTAAGTCATGGATTAGTTTTTTACTTCGAAGACCGATGTGTGTGAATAGAGAGATTATAGATTGAGAGTCAAACAAGAACCTGATCAGAGTAAAAAAAAACCACATGAACGTATATATCACATACGATTTATAGTCAAATCACATATGTGATTAAGGAACAACGTCAAACCACTTAGGTTGTGTGGCAAATTTGCACCACACCCCTCGTTTGTTTGGCCATGTTATCTTAATCATATGTGATTGGACTGTAAAATAACATGTGATATAGATGCAATACGTGATTTGACTGTAAAAGAACATGTGATATGATTTTTCTTTTTTAAAAACCCATTATGATTAGAAAATTCCTAAAAACTATCTATGAAATAGATGGTCGTTCTGGAATTAATCGACTCGTGTAGCAGATTGGATATCTAAGTTAACTAAAAAAACCCTTAAAAACAGTATAATATACTTAATTTACGAGCATGCATCATGGTTAAAGGGGGTGTTTGGGATTGCTTATTTTAGGTGTTTTTTTGACTTATTTCAGTCTGACACCGATAATAAGCTAAATACTAGTGTTTATATGAGGAAAAATAAAATTGTTTATACTGGTGTCAAATCGGTAATAAGCAGTTTTTGATAAGTTAATCCTTCCTTACTTATGAAAAGCTGCTTATTATCAATTTACCATTTTAACCATGTTTGTTAATTATTAATCTTATTGATATAAATTTTTGTCGAAGATATTATTATAAATGATGAAAAATAAATTTTTACAAGTTAAAAAATAAAATTAGTTAATAAACAATCTCAAACACTCCCATAAGTCAATAATATGGAAAACTGTCATTTTACATATATAAGCAAAATTTATCAAACATTAAAAAACAACTTATCGGCTTATTACTTTTTGATATCGCTATAAACTAATCCAAACATTTTTTTACAAAACTCCGGTTTATTACCATTTTAGTTAATAAACACTTTATAAAAAAAACATAAGTCAGGCTGTAATTCAGCAATTTTCTTGAAAATTTTAAATAAGATTATTTAAATCGCTATATTATTATTACATTTAATCTCATACATTAAATCACACATTTTGACATGATCCACCACATCACATTTCTATAATTACATTACTTCTTAAATTAAACCAAAGTGGTTAGATTAAATGATATTACTTTAAAGATCTTTTAAAAGGCATAAAATCATGTTAATTTAGCGTTGTAACATTTATACATCCTTGTTTCTAATATTACATAAAAAACGAGTTATTGAAACCACTACTTCATGAGAAATCATTGAAGAAAGCTACTAATTATACTGTTTTAGCAGGGTTTCAACAGCTATTCAGTATTTGAATGTATATATCAGCTGATAATCCGTTAGTTACTGAATACAAACATGACGTTTTAAAAATTAAGTTGTAAACTTTAATTTAAAGATATTTTAAAAATATAAAATAAATAATTTGCAATATAATAAAAATATGTTCCTTAAGATAAAATTGGAATTAAATTACTTTCTGTTTTTTGTTAGGAGTCCTGATATTTTTCAATTCTTACAAATATTAAATATGAATTATTTCCAAAAAAAGTTAATATTAAATATGAATTAAAAGAGTAAATTAAATATTAAGTGGAAGTAATTTCCAGAATTACCCTTATGGTGAGGGTGGGTGGATTCACATGGGTAGTAGGCTGACATTGACAGCCACACCACATACTTCAATTAAGCTTTGCTTGCAAAACATACTTATGGATCGATGTCATGGTCCATTTCCAATTTCTTATCTGAATTAAATTACCTTTTTGTCCCTATGGTTTGTTTAAAACTACGATTTTCATTTTCGTAGTTTCAAAATTGTGTGGTTTGAAATTTATTGTGGTTTTCATACATGTATAATAAGACGAATAATCGCGTGAGAAGAGAAGTTATGGTGAGAAGCGTAAAAAGAGATCTGGATCCTTAATCACTTTTAATCTCATGTCTACCCATGAATTGCGTTTTAGAAAAGAGTTGATCTGATATACTTCATTAGTGTTGACATTCAACTAAGGTTTGATCCAAGGTTCTTATGTTTATCAGCATAACTTTTCTTCTCACATAAAAACCCAACCATGTATAATAATACTTACATGAATCACTTTAATAGACCAAAGATATTCATTCATATGGTAATCATAAAAAAGAACTCATAATAAAGATGCATCGTCATTTTTTGGTAATTGTGGCGTCGGCACATTTCGTCCCCTTAGACCCATCTGTATGAACGGAATATATTTCTGCCTCTTTGGAAAACGGTGTGACCCGTTCACGAAATTCGAAAATAGGCCTTCTAACACAAGTATGTGGTTTTACTTGATATGTAGGAAAGAAAGCAAGAAAATGGTTAAAGCAAAAGCTTTAGAGCAGGAGATATTGGTTTCTGAAAAGCTTCATGTGCTGGTAGAGTAACTCATAAGAGAATAATATGAGGGGACCAAATGCTTCCTTCGTAGAATTAAGAATATCAAAGTGGGTGATGGGCTACAGGCCCAAGTAACATATGGGCTTTTTGTCTCAAATACAAAGTATTCATGTCATTTGTTGTTGGCTCATACCATAACTATCATGGAAGAGGTAAATCAGGATATCTTGTAGCAATACGGTACGTCAACTAAGCTTCAAATTTGAGACTTTGTTGTAAAACTCCACCGCGTTTTTTGCTTGGACAATTCACCGTCGTCTTTCTGTACAACAGACATCTTTTTACCACATTTGTGTGGAGTTCAACCACGACGAATAAAATCGGCTCTATAAGATATCAAATATGTAATAATGTCATTAAAACTCCTTTGTAAAACTTGGTTTATGAGACCAAACAGTAGTACAGCTGTTATGCGTCAATTGAACATTTTTAATGTCTAAAATATATCATTTTCAAAACAAAATGTTATTTTAAAAAAGGTGATATTAAAACATGTATTCTATACTATAAAAAGATGCGGCTATAAAACACTTCTTTAGATGTATAATTGACGCACTATAAAATCAAACTTGACACACAAAGTTGCAATGAAATGGTGAAAAAGACTCGAATGTATTTGTTCCATTGAGAAATCAAACATTTATGATAGAAGCTCGAAAAACCTCTCACATGGTATGCATACGACCCCCACAGTGAAAGGTTGACCCTACAGGCTACATACACAAGTCAAGTTTGCTCATTCAACATCGTTTTGCCACGTTCCCGACGGTTTGAAACGGTTCGTGTTTCAAAACATCATCATCCCAGTGAATGTATACGAAACACGACATGTCAATCACAGAAGCAGCGCTTTTGTGAGTTACTTGGCAGAGGTATCCCTCCGCCTTCACTCGGTGTCACACTCCACCTAACAAACATCGCTTTTTTAACAGAATACAAGAGACCGTCTCCAATTATTCCCACACCTAATGGGTGATATAATGGCTAACGGAAGTATACAGAGACCTGAGGGATATCGATGTCGTTCTCCTCCTCATCTTCACACGCCACCATCAGATCCAAGTGACAGCGATACGACGGAATCTCCATCTTCGCCACATCCCGGGCCAAATCCACCACCTTCTTATCCAACCGCTCTTTGTGCTTAGGGAACATGATGTTATACAGCATGCAACTTCCACACGAAATGCTATAAGCATCGAGACCTTTGTCTGCAAGCCATTGAATAAGTTCTCTTAGTGTCGGGTTGCCCTTAATCGACCACCGATCCCACACGCTCCAGCTCATGTCCTGGTGTTTGATGACCTTTGGTGGGACTGGCTCCGCCATGGAGAAGAGAGGGAGTGCCAGGTTGGCGAATGTGTTCCGATAGTCTTCCACCTTGTGGCCGCCATCGATGACCTTATAGAGCTCGAGGCAGACTAAACCAGTGGCCATTGCGGTAGAGGTGGCGATTGCAGGGATGATTCTTCCGGCAATAAATTTGGCTCTCAATTTGTCAACTTCAGGGATGCTGTAATTTCTTGCTCTCATGTTGGCAAGTCCAGCTATGAAGTCCATGTGGTAATTTGCGTCATCATCCTGCAAAATGCAATCAAGAAAATTATTGTACCAAAAGACCATAAAAGATTCAATGTTAATTAAACCTCATACAACCCCTATGTTATTTTTCTGAGAGGATGAAAACAATCAAAAGTTGATGGCATCTACATGCACCGCAACAAAATCGGCTTTACAGGACGTCAAATATGTCTAGATATCCTAATAGACTGTTCTATAGGTCTTTATATTTATAGGAGCAAACAATTGCGCGTTGTATGCAATGTGTTACTATAAGTCGATCACGACACTTTTGGGTGTCCTAACAAGTTTTTTATGACACTTTTGAAATAAGGCGCCCTATTGGTCTTTTTATGACATTATCTTAGGAAGTGTTGTATAAAAATAAAAGCCCTATGAAAAGATGTGTTAATAGGACACTTTTTTTAAGTGTGTCATAAAAAACTTGTTAGGACTTCCAAATGCGTCCCAACATTGGACACACAATTGTTTGGTCCTGTAAATGCAAGTCTTAAAAGCAGTTTACTAGGGTATTTAGACATATTTGGCGTCCTATCAACATTCTCCTCCGGAGCCTAATACCATATGTATTGATGTCGTGATGTGTACTTGTATTTATGTGCACACAATTGTGTTCATAAGGGCAAATTCATTTGAGAACTACGACGAATAAAAACGCATGATATAGATCGTAATGAACAATATTTATGTATACTTGTCATGAATAGTTGGTTCCCACGGTTCTCAAAATATGTACGGTTCCTAAATGAACTTTCCCCGGTGTTGATAAGTATATATGCAGGCATCAAACTACCCCAAGAAAATGTTATCAATATTCAATGTGTAAAAAGTGGATACCTTCTCAAACTGAATAGGTTTCATGATATAACCAGATGGAAGTGTCTTTCGTCGCTGTTCAAGCTTTTTGCTTAGCTCATCAATAACTGCACCATCATCTATAGACGAAGCCGATAAACTGGTAGCATTCTCATCAGTCTCTATTCTAACACCTTGCTTTGGTTGGAAGTCGGGAACAACCACCTGATCAACAGCTTCAGCCAATTTCTTGGGATTCTTGGCCCAATCAGGAATAGGGATGCCAAATGTCTCGGCGCGAAGAATGGAGCCCGCCAATATAAAATGAAGATGACTCAGATCAGAGAGAGAGAACTCCAGTGGACGTGGGAAACGCTTGGGGGCTGACCAAAATGGAGCTCCGGTACTGGTGGCAGCATCTTCGGGGAACGTAAAAATCAGTTGCCTCATACGATTACAGAAGTAATCTTCAAACCTACAAGTAGATGAATAAAGAGAAATACACATAAGAATACAAGCATTATACTGTATGAAAGCCAGGCTAAAGAGTTTATTCCCCATTCAGTGGACTCCTATAGTTCGAGCCACACTTCACGGAGATTTTACTGTCTCAAGTCTCAACTAACCAAAGTTTCTTGAAGCTTGAAAATAATAGCCAGGAAAATCCCTAATGGCCCCGAGGAGACTCGAACCGGCGACCTATTGGGAGAATCCCCCAAGGACTAGCCTTTATTTGCTAGCTGATCTGACCCGCAAGACTTCTCTTATCAAGTTCGTGTGTGTGCGAGCTCCAAGACTAGGTACAAATACAAGAAAAATAACAAATAAAGAAAGGGTATTACTTCAGACGAGCCCAAGTGATGCAATCTTGGAATGTTTCACATTTTTCCCTATCGAGGCACTCAAGAACTCGTTCAAGATTATCCCTCGCCTGGGCATCACCAGCATTCCTCATCACAGATATATATTCACCAGGATTCGACAGATAGGCGTTAACTTCCGATGGTGTTTTCTCAAGCAAACCTTCAAACTCTGACCGAGCCCATGTCAGGCAGTGATCAATGTTATGTGGAAAGGAGTGCACAGTGCACATGGGTGCTTGCTTCTCCGGTGGGTCCCTAGAGGCACCGTAGTTTTCAGTCAGGTGGGGAATAACCATCTGTGTGTTGCACTTAGCACCCAGTGTTCCCGACTCAAGAAGTGGCTTCTGGAAATATAAGCATCTTTGATCAACATAAAGCCTGGCATTTACATTGTCTAAAGCATTAATAACAACATTCAAATTCTCCCAGAAAATATCATCAAAAACATTCTCGGTCTCCGGGCCCACACGATTCTGCAAAGCTTCTATCTGAAGACGAGGGTTAATCAACGCAGCTGCGGAAGCGGCAACCGTGGATTTTGCCTGCCCGATATTCCAGTCACGGAACAAGAATTGTCTGCTGAGATTACTCTTCTCAATTACATCATCGTCAGTGACCGTTAATTTCCCTTGAGTGCCGCATGAAACACCCATCAAGGCTAAGTTCTTCAAGAATTCACATCCCAATGCACCAGATCCTACAACGAAAGACCGAGTATCCTCTAATTTCTTCTGAAATTTAGATCCAAATACTGAGATCTGGGCATCATAACGGCTGTTCAAAGGCTTATAGTCGCTGGCGTCTAACGGCTCCATAGGAAGTGACTCAACCGAATCAAAGTAAAAGAACTGTAGAAACATTGGAAACATGAAGATACAGATGAGACGAATACAGAAAAAGTCCAGGGTTTTTTTGGTACATGGATGAGACTGGAATAGGACTGAACAGGTGAGAGTGAGGTCCGCAGGCGAAAAAATTGTAAAAGGTTATAGGGTTTTAATTTGATATGAGTATTTTAGTAATTTACCAATCTTGTCTCATCACCTTGATTTTTGTTCCATCTATCTTGGTGGGACAAAAAAAACACATTTTTCCCACTCAGGTCCTGTCATGTCACAATCTAATGTCAACCTGGGGAAACAAGTTTTTGCACAGTCCTGTCCCATGTACCAAATGAACCCAAAATAGACAAGTTGTACATATAAACTAACCTGGAAAAGTGGATGGAACTTTCCAGAGCAAGCCTTCACAACCTCTTGACCAACTATGCCGCCAAACATGGCAGCCATGGGATTAAGCACTGCTCGAGCCCCATGAGCAAAGTGCCGCAGAAGTTTCGGATTGACATCTCCCAATTTTCCATCTCCTGAGCTGTCGTTCATGTTGCTGGCAATAGATATCAACTTCTGTGCATCATCTTCTGAACCAGCAACAGAGAAGCGCCCCAATTCACATTTGAACTTGTCAAGTGCTTGGAATGCTAGATGCAAAAGAGGAGGGCGGTCAAACTTAGAGAAGTCACTCAGCAGAAACTCGCCTGGAGATCCAAGTGCCTCTCTTAAAGGCTTGAAATTAAGAACCTTTGGCTGTTTTACTTGAGTCACTATACCGCCTTTCACGTAACTGCCAAAGTTTGTAGTGTTTTCTTCAAGATAGAATGAGTAGGGCCTACAGCTTTTAATCTTTCTTGGTTTTCCGTCATTAAGTTCTGCCATCCCATGAACTTCAGAAAATACGACAAGATCACCATCTTGGAACTCCAGCCTTTCATCATCAACACAAGTTACAAGTGCAGGGCTATCGTTACTGATGGAGGCAATGATGCCAGTATGTGGTTCCTCGCCATCAACATCAACTACGGTGAACTCAGGGCCAAAATCACAAAAAAAGTTACCAAAAAGTCCTCTGACTTCAGTCTTTATGAATGCAATAGGAGGCTGATGGTTGTGGCAGTAATCATCAAACTCAATAGCTGTTTTCAAGTCAGTATCAGTAAAGACCACAACCTGAAATCAAAAAAAAAGATTAATGATCAATCTAGCTGGAAAACAACTGTATTATTAATGCAGCAGGTACATTAGACATCATGTCTCGAGAATCAAAAGAATGTTAGCATCGCCTTTATCAACTCAAAGTTCAAAAAACAAAATTAAATCTGCAAATTGACAAATTAATTCCAAGTTCTGCAAAATTAAATCTGCAAATTGCATGACTTGATAGCTATTTTTGGCATCACTTAAAATTAGGCATATACACCTAAGTTTCCAATTATTGGATCTGCTTTGGTAGTTCACAGATACCATGGTCGTTGTATAAATAGCATTGTAAGGTTCAAATTGAAATACAATTCCTTTTCTCGATTAGGCCCTTTTTTGTATCTTCTCCGGGCTTAATTGTTGTGCATCTTTTGAACCTTTAGCCTCCTTCGCCACTTAATAACCTTTGTTTTCTCTTCCAAAAGCCAAATAGAGCTTGTTTAGTCAACCCATGAGAACCCCCTTTGGCCTTCATAGCAGCTCTGTCCTCTTGCAAGATTATGTCGTCATTGGGTTTATAATTTTCTTGTCGGACTAGATTCAAAATCAAATCAATCAAAGAATACAGAATTTTGGTAAGCCAAAGATTTCACACTTCAACGAAGTAGCACTGCTGATCCATAGCGATGGAAATAGAAGAGGCATGATGCTCTAGCTACGCTGGCAACCAATACCAACAATTAGTCACAAATATGGAGGAACAAACCTAAGGAAAAAAGGTGGCAGGTCAAAAACATAAAACCATGAGAATTATGGTGCAGTTACTACGAGTGTTGCTTCACCCATGAATGGAATCCTCATGGAAAACCTCCAAGCCAAGAATGGAACCGAAAAATGAGGAGAATCCATTGGACAAGTTCAGAGAGCTGCAGATCCAACAAGGTGAATTTACTGATTCATGTGTACTTGTTCAATGGCATATCCAGGTTAGCTTTCAGCTTCTAGTGAACTGTATGTCTCATAATATAACACCTTCACCAATAATATTTTTTCAATACACTCCATGTCGAAGTAGTAAGAAAATAGCTACAGCCAATGAGTCCTTGAACAGTTGGGTAAAGCTTGGGTCCATACCCCATGGCATAGGTTCAAATCTTGTGTGTGATCCGACCACTATAGCTCTGGGGGATGACAAAATAAGCCAATCGGTTAAATCAAAAAATGCCCATGTTCTAGTATTGTCCACAAACCTAGTCTCGATACAAAAAGCTCCCTCAATACTATGTCGCAATCTAACTTTTTCACAACAGTTGTATAGGATTCAACAAGGATGATTGGACGTGCTAGAAAAGGAATGAGCTTTACTATCTTGAAGCGCTAAGCCACATTAACAAATGCATAGGCAGATTTCCTTCTTATCGAAGTTTGTTTTACTCGATATAGAAAATTACTTCACCATTACCAATTCAGATGCCTACCATCTACAGCCATCAAGGATTTAATCAAGGAAAGTTTCAGTGCGAACTCGTTGGACACAAGTATCTACCTTTCTTAGCTAGTTTAGCTTCATTCCTTTCTATTTTACTCAAATGTATTCGAGTTCCACCTACTGTTCCTAATGTTTCTGAAATAAGATGGTTGGTTTCCATTGATCATTGCACCCTACGTGGATTTTTCTCCTAAACACGTATCTGATGATAGTATTGGCCATTGTGTTCCTGAATTTTTGTTCTGTGATCACAAAACAATTTGGGGATAATATAATACTTCAATCAAATTCTTAAATCATTTTTCAGAAAGAAGAAACGATACACGAGCAATCTTATGTTAAAACCCTCCAACAGAACAAGATAGTAGAGATGAAAAATGGTTACATTATCAAAAAATCTAGAGCTTGGTTTCAAGAAAATGTGTCTCTACATTTTTTCAAAGAAGCATCAGAAATAAATCATTTGCCTTCAACATTTCACCCAGGGACAAATACTACAAGCAAACATGTCGGAGAACTTTAGAATGTCTTATTTGTCCATGGTCTTGTTCAAAACAGGTGGAAGTACAAGCACTAAAACGCATCTTTGGGACTATTCTTCAACCCGTAAATGGTATAAGTGTTAACACTCCATATCAAAGAAATGTTACATCTTGAATTCTAGATGAATATTGTGTTCAGTGAAAAGAAGTCCGATATCACTATCGTTGTCTTCAGGGGAAGAGTTCCACTAATGAAGATAAGGAAGATTTAGTGTTTGATTTATCATCAAGTCAAATGTTTAGAACCTCACAACCATGTGCCTCCGAATATAAACCCACATCCATTCCTTAACACCTGCCTAAAACACCAAATAAGCCACACAACAGAAGACAAAATGTTTAAATCAAGTCTTACAATTGTAAACTTTTGCAAGGTGACCAGAGAGGAAAATGGTCGTTCCAGGTCAAAAGTCAAACTTATGTCATTTGAATGAGGAAGCAGTTTATCACCATCAGTTGCAAGTTGAAATTTTATCTCATGTGGATAATAATGATCTCAACATTTAAGAAAATGACCAGAAAATGCAGAAAGCAATACCATTATACCCTTTTGCACATTTTTGTCATTTAAGATATCCTCACCGAGTCACCGTCTAATATATAGCCTTTGTTATGAGCATATATACCACCACCATTCCACTACCTTGCTAGTGGCTTTGCCCAGTGAAAAATGGAAATGAATGTAGAGATGAAGGTGTTAGAAAAGAACGAGACTTCAGTGTTGGTGAATTTATCAACAAGAAAAGAAAATAGTGAATGTGAAGTATAAGGCAGATTGGTCAGTTGAAAGATAGCAGCAAGGTCGGTTGAGGGACGCATCAAACCTAAGAAAATTAATATCTAGAGATCTTTGCTCCTGTTGCAAAGATGAACAGAACACAGACTATTATCATCACCAGCAACTAATTATGGTGGGGGTTGCAACAATCAGATGATGAAACACATTCTTCTATTACATGCCAAACTAGGAGAAGTCATTTGTATTGACACCAGTATACGGAAAAAACTTGCTTCTCGTGCCGTGGAAAGTTGGAAAAGGCACTATATGGGATACACACAAAAGCAAGAAGATCACATATTATTCATATCACACTATCTTTAGGGAGGAGTTACACAAGATAAATTTTGTGGTTCAAGCCAACTGCTAAAGAACCAGTAACAGTATAAGACCATACCAACATCATCTGCTCCAGTTCTTGGTTCCAACTCTTTTTAATTTTCAGCATTAGATCAATGCACTGTCCGAATACATATTCCAGCTTTACTTTGATACAAGAAACTTAAGGACAAACATTGCAGAAAGAAAAGCATAGACCAGGTGAACACGTCCTCAAACTGATACAATTCTTAAGGAGAGCTACCAAACAAACTGAGAGTCCAGAATTTTAAAATTTGCAATATGAGGCTGATCACTGACGTTATATAGACCTAATTCTTGAAGATACATATACGCCAACATATGGCTCGTACATGCTGCCATAATCATTTCGCAGATGATTAGCACAAGCAGTTGAAGAAAATCAATCTGATGAAGGGCAAGAACAGCACCTAAAACCAAAGGATCTCACACTACGCTGATATGTTGTACTTCTCATTTGGATAAGAAGTTATCTTTGGATTTGACTCATGGTTCAAACTTCAAAGCAAAAGCTGATTTCTTTCACATTTTTTCTTATTACTAACTGAAATATTCAGTATCTTGGATAATTAGAGATATTACTACTTGTTAACGGAAGAAAGGCTACTAGAACCAAAGTTACACTGCTCTTTTGCAAGGATGAAATGAAATGATCAAAAGTCAAAACTTCCTTCTAGTTTTTTTAGTTGACAGTTTCCATCACCTCCTTGATGATCATTCAAGCCATCAGAACACATACACGTACAATTAAGGAATGCCGAGTGTAAGAGCCATCCATCCCTATCACATCCGCAAGTCATATTAAGGTTCTGCGATTTTTCTTTTCCTTGTACACTAATATGCTTATTTACATATTAGGATGATGCCTGATACCAGATTCTGTTTCCATTTCATGAACAATTCGTTACTCTTGAAGCAACACACTTTTCTCCATTTGTTGGCAGTTACCAGTAGACACTTAAGTCTTCTGTAACTAATATGGCAAATGTTGTAGCTTGTAAATATATCAATGCATGATAATTTAAGCATTTTCCAAGTCAAATACCATAATATATGAAAGAATGAAGTGGTGCTTTGGCTGCTTTCATTGTCCTGGAGAAAGTAGCCTCGGTATCGTAATGCATGCATAATGCAGAAATCTCTAGAATTGGATCAGATAACAAACAACAACCTTCTTTGGATGTTGGAAAAGATGTGTTGTAGATGTCATATGATCTAGAAATGGAATTTTCACTTGAGGAAGAATTTTGTGGCATGCATCAAGTAACTAATGGAAATGGCATACTAATAAATTATCATAAAAGCTATCCATTGCAACAACAAACTATCAATCCTCCATTTCGAAGCATAAAAGTAAAATGTGCATTATTAAGGTTAGGCTTTACATCTTGTTCCATCATACATATGTGATTTATTTGAAGAACTAATGCATTATGTATGCGAGCAAAGTAAATGAGTACCTGGAAGTTAGAAAGTTGTTCTTTAGTCAATTTCGTAGGCAAGGTGGAGACCAGTACAGCATTGTTGAGATCCTGCAGCTTCTGGACAGAAGCTAGAGCTCTATTCTTGCCTACATCATCCTCTGAAAAGAGAAAATTACCGGACAAATCCCACAGTTCCACTGCCCCTTCATCATGCAATGTCACAGACTTGACGCCAGCAAGTATAAGATTTTTTGCTGCATGAATTGTTAAAAATGAAGCCATTGCATAAGGACAGAATATCATATTTCAAAATGAATCATTTTTCCAATTTAACAGTCATGATTATGCATAACCACTCTGCTGTAATCCAGTTCCAAGCAAGAAAAGAAGCTATTTGACATCAAACTCCAATACATTAACATTGATATGAGGAGGACAGTTACAAATATAGTCTTAATAGCACAAAAGGCATTATGGATATCCTAACCAAAGGCAGCTATAATGCATTTGCATCGAGTAAGTGAAAGACTATAATAACAATTTTTATAACAAGAGGAAATGTTGCCCACTAAGGTAGAGTTTGGTACACATATAGGAGAAGACTGAGTTGGACAGGACAAGTTGTCTATATGGTGTTTGGTTCAACTAAGACAAGACTAAACAAGTTGTGTACAGTGTTAGGTAAATTGGACAAGACAGGACAAAACTGTTAAAACGATCAGAATGCCCCTAAATCCTGTCTAATGTTTCTATATATCATATATTAGTTATAAACATGGAATGATAAGTTTTTGTCCTACCCAATTGATTCCCATGTACCAAATGCAGCGTAATAGAACAATCAGATGATAGTAAACATGCAAAAAAAAAAAGCCTGGTAGCAAGAAACCTTGCAGCTCATGAAATACAAAAAATCAGCAGGAGCACTTGAAGTCTTGAACTAATTGCAATGATAAAGAATCAAGTTAGTTCCTATTCAATGAATACCCTTTATCAGACATACACAAAACCAAACACCGACAGAAGATTGAACATTACTTTATGATGATTAAAAGAAAACATCAGGCTTACCTATCTCTGCGCCAAGTCCTTGCATCCCAGAAACTAGCACATTAGATGCAAAGAGCCTCCTCATAGTCTCACGACCATAAACAGCAAGCTGTCTGCTGTGGAGATCCTCGTCGATATCCTGCATATGTCCATCCTCTAACCCCATATTTGTCAAAGACGGTTCTACAACAGTACTGCTCGCCCTAGTAGTATCCCCTGCTATCACGCTACAGCTGCTATAGCTATTCGAGTCACCACCACCACTGCTGTTCTTCCCGTCACACTCCTCGGTCCCGGTGGTGGTTGTTCTGGAGGTTATCGATGAACAAGAAGAGATCAAACAACCGAGCCGAGGCTTTTTATGCAATTTATCAGTATTATTACCACTACTGCTATCCTCGTCAAGCTTTGTTACTTCAACAGGTCGCTTCTTAGGTAGCATATAGAGTAAAAAACTGCTGACAGCACCACAAAACCCCATGGAAATGAAAATCAACAAAAAGAATTGCAAAAATTCAAGATCGGTAAAGAAACACAATCCGTTTACAACACACAGCAAACCAAACCCTAACCCTAGGTATTTCTGCTTGTTTTTGGACAAAAACGCCATTAATTATGAAAGTATGATTCGATCTGATCAGAGAATTTGAATTGCAAGCAAAGAAAGAGATAAATTAGAAAGGAAACTGACCTCCGATTGAAGAAGGTATCTTTGGAGCAGTAGATTCTTGAGAGATGAATGTTGTGTTGTTCTTTGCTTTGAGGGAGTCGTTGGGTGCGTATTCTAGAGAATTCTCAACAGTGGAGAGTTGGATTTTTATAATGGGTTTATATGGTTTGGTGATTGTAGAGTAGGAGGAAGGCGGTGGATGACCTTAGCTTCCGACGTGGAACGACAACAACTAAATCCCATTTTGTCATCCTTGCTGTCCAAAATCAGTTTTAAAAATTAAATAAATAACATAAATCGTTAAATTAGAGAAACTTGATCACGGTGTTACGAAAGGAGTGACAATTTTATACTAAATTAAATTTACCAACACGTGTATCAAACGTACTAATTATAATTATTTATTGGTATTTTATTAAGTATGCAAATTTTGTTGGTTCATCGTTATAGAAGTCGTGTATCATGGTAATATCATGATACCGATTTATTTAATTTTTTATTAGTTTTTTAAATTTTTTTATTATATTAAATATTAAACTTTACTTATTTTATTTGAACATTTGGATATTCATAAATTTTATTATTTCCAATAAAAAAACCTTACCATGTAAGATTATAGGTACTCGTTTTTCTCACTTTGTAAAGTAGTTGACATTGGTAAACAACCCTTGGTTTGTCGACCAGGTCAGGCTCAACGTGCTGGGTATGATTTGGTGTTTTAGTTTACTACTTACATTTGCTTGTAGTATTCTGATTTTCAGGGGTTGTCTGCTTGCAGTATTATAATTTTTAGGAGTTATTTTTACCAAGCATTTACAGACTACGAACTTTTAAGCAAGAGTCATTACTCTTACTTACCTTATTTTTTACCATAAAAAATGATTGTTGGTAAGCGTTTACTAGATAAGAGATTTCTCACTCACTTATCGAGTAAGATTCTCGGTCTTTGTCGTGTCTCTTATTAAGTAATATTCTCAACCCTTGTTATGCTCACCATGTAACATAAAATAAAACCCAATAAACACTTACGTGGTAAATATTTGATAAAGAGCTCCTTCTAGGTCTTAGTTGGTTCTCAATTACTTTGGTAGTAGTTTAATGAGTTTGGCTATTTCATGGTACAAAAATACTCTCTTCATATATATATATATATATATATATATATATAGAGAGAGAGAGAGAGAGAGAGAGTGTGTGTGAGTGTGTGTGTGTGTGTCAGGTTCATATAAGAACCACAATTAAATAAGAGAATAAAAAAAATAGTATAATCATATATGATTTTACACTTCGTTTGCACACCCTTACATTGTTAGTCTAATCACATGTAATTTTTTATATGATTTGACCGTTTTCATGTTCTATTTATTTAATTGTTGTTCTTGTTTGAACCTTCGTATCTATAATTATTTAGTTGAGAAATCATTAAATGCATGTTACCTAATGTCATAGAACTTAGAAGCTTCCGACAAAATCATTAGATCCAACAAAAGTAAGGTTTATTAAGTTTATATAAAAGTATTAGTGACTAATTATGGATTTTCTAACATGCATTGCATTAACATTATAAAAATATTTATTTAATATATTATGCATTGTATTCCAAGTGTGTTGTTTATCTCTAAATTCACAAGCTTAGGGACCCATCTAGCCTAGGGAATATATTAAGCGTTAAATCAAATGGGAATCATAAATATGTTACAAACTCGTGAGAATCGATAACAAAAACTACATGATATGTTTTTATCAAATATTAAGATTTAAGATATTGTTTCACATATATTTATTTCATAATATGATAGTTTTAAATATATTTGTTTCACCATGTAATTAGTTTTTAACGTATTTTCATTTCACCAGGTGAATCGATTTTTTTTTCACAATGTAAACACAAAAAAATGTGAAACAATATCTTAAGTCATAGGCTTTGATGAAAAAAAAAAGAATGTAAAAAATATTTTTGTATTGGTTCTCACGGGTTTATAACATATTTGTGCTTCTCATTTGATTATCATCATATATATACACACACACAAACGATTGTGTGAGAAAAATAGTTAAATCGAGAAACGTAAGAAAAAATTTGGATTGTTGATCACGTATAATTTAGACCCCACTCATGAATTGCAGTTCTCACGATAATTGATTTGGTACATCTTCGTGCACCTTAACTCTTTTAATATACAATTATGATTGATACAAGGTGAAGATCTACTTTTAATATACAATTATGATTGATACAAGGTGAAGATCTATTCTAACCTTTTTCACCATAACCCAACATATATATATATATATATATATAGGGGCCTATTCAAGGGAGAACTGAGTTGTTTGTGGTAACTGTGAGAACCAATCTTAACCACAAATCAACGGATAAATAAGGAAATTAATAATTATGGTAATTCGAGTTAAAATTATAATTAGATGGCATTTTAGGTATTTTTAAAAAACTTCTCTCTCCTCTCTCCGATCTCCGATCTCCGGCCTCCGGTGAATATTAATCCGGCAGGTACCAATGTATTACCAATTGGGGGGACCACCATGTACCACAGAATTTTCACTCGTCTCCTCCTTTCCCAATCCATCTTCTCCGGCCACTCTGTGATACCCATTACCCAAACCAATTGGGGNAATTTTCACTCGTCTCCTCCTTTCCCAATCCATCTTCTCCGGCCACCTTGTGATACCCATTACCCAATGTATTACCAATTGGGGTACCACAAATTTTTCACTCGTCTCCTCCTTTCCAAATCCATCTTCTCCGGCCACCCTGTAATACTCATTACCCAATGTATTACCAATTTGGGTACCACCATGTACCACATAATTTTTACCCGTCTCCTCCTTTCTCAACCCATCTTCTCCGGCTACCCCTGCATTGTTGCAGCCACCATCTCCTTATCTCTCTTCTCCCTTTCACCTTCCGCAACACACGCTCGCACCCCTGCACCACCGTACGAACTAACACAAACACAGGGACGAGGAAATAGGCAAAGCACACCCGAACCTTCCCCTTCGCACTGCCTTTGTCATGTCTCGTCTCCGTCGTCTGCCTCGTGAACCACTCCAGCAAGTCCCAGTCAATGCTTTGAAGCCATCAAATAAACAATCAAAGCAAAACCAGAAAGGGTTGTTGATTTCATAGGGCCAAATCAAAGAAGAGAGATAAGGTTTTCTAATAAAGGAGAAGATGAGATGGTTGTAGAAGGGGAAACCGTCGATGAAAAAGTAGATGGGGGTGGTGGGGGTGGCCGGAGAAGAAGTAGACGAAGGAGAAGA